CGAAATTATCAAAAACTAGGCTTTTAGGGCGTTTCTCGACCATCTGTTGTGAACAGGTTCTCTTCGTGTACATTGTAAAAAAAACGCTGATTTCAGAAAAACATTTCGTGGATTTTCAAAATTTTAAAAAATTTAATGAAAATCGAATTTTGTTGTATCAAATTTTTGAAATTTTGATCATTCATAAACCTTCCCTGGGACCTCACGTCCCTCAATAAATTTGGGCAGGATCGGTACAGCCGTTTTAACGTATATTGAAAACAAACATGCTTTTTGAATTTCCCTGGCGGTTCAAGACTGGATTCCATAGTGGCAAAAAACTGGATCAAATCTAACTCTTTGAGTTCGGTTAAAATAGTTTTATGTTGACACAGAGTCATACATCCTCATTCCTGGTGTCAGACAGTCATTATCACATTCTTTTATTCTTTATCATCAGTATCATACATTCTCATTCCTGGTGTCAGACAGTCATTATCACATTCTTTTATTCTTTATCATCAGATCCATTATCAGCAGTATCATACATCCTCATTCCTGGTGTCATACAGTCATTATCACATTCTTTTATGCTTTATCATCAGATTCATTATCAGCAGTATCATAAGTTATTAACGTTATTATTATTATATTTTTTTCGTACACATAACCCGGTATAATGATTAAGTATAAGATATATGAAAATTAAGACTACAAACATTTATATATGTATATATGTCATACAAAATTATAGTCACAACACAGATGGTTGATTATTTGGGACAGTTCATCCGTTTCAAAACTCAAATTTTATTTGATCTAATAGATAATATAATTCCTTTAAAGAGGGAATTTTCCAATAGTTTAAATCAGAAATATCTTCAAAGTTAAATTAATTTTTACATTTAGATAACTCGGAAAACAATTGCAATCTTGTGCAACGCTAAACTGTTCTGATCGCAAAGCAATTTGACAGCGATTTTATAACTATGCTGTAAACTATGAAAGAAGAATACAAAATGGTTTTTAAGTGTAGATTTTCAATTATTTAGGTTAAGATCAGTCCTGAAAACTAAATCTTTGGTTCTCTTCTCTTCTTTTGAGCAGCATTGCATTCTGTACCATATTCGACCCACTGTTTTAAAGATAAAAAATGAAATAAATTAATAAATAATATCGGATTTAAACTTAACTTCATATATTTANACGGTTTAATCCTAACATATTTTTGACCCAGCTGAAAAAGAGACCTGGGGTTAATTCCCTAGAGTTGAAGATGTCACTGAAGTTAATAAGGAAATTACACACGGTTACGTCTTCAACCCAGCATCATACTGCTAAAAAGTTTGACCTAACTGACACCCTGCAGGAACCCCTGGAACCCCAGGAACCCCTGGAACCTATGTGAACCCCTGGAACCTATGTGAACCCCAGGAACCCCTGGAACCTATGTGAACAATATTAAGAAATAATTCTAATTCTAAAGGAACTGAACACTCGCCACAAACTATGATTCACAAATCCCTACATATTTGAAACCTGATAACTTTGATATTTTAAACTTAAGCTTTTTGATCAAGCAGAGTTCATAATTTGAAATATAAGAAAAACAGAGTTACCCACCAAGTATGAGACGACACAATAAGACATTTTATAGATAAATAAGTATTCAACCTTAATAATATTGATTTTCAATATCATATCAGAAAGAAACAATTTACTGTTGCAAAGAATATAAAAAAAACAGAGAGTATTTATTGGGTACAGTCGTTTTTAAAGTCTCATCCTATACAGGGAACATTGTGCGATATTGCGAAGAATTTTGTAGTTTATAATTGGTATAAATCTGAAAATGAACCCTAAACATTTTTAGAGATAAAACTGAAGTCCTCCCGTCATTTGCAGTAGTAATAACTGATTTAGGATAAATCAGTTATTACTATATAGCAAATGACGGGTGGACTTCAGTTGTGTTTTTAACTGATTTGGAATGTGTAAAAAATGTCAAAAACAATCATTTTTATAGTTTTTCAAAATGTCGTCTGCTGTCTTGTATCTTTATAAAAAACTCTTGAAATAATATCATACAATTTATATCAATCTTTTATAAATATTTAATGGTTTGTTAATTAATATTTTCAAATTTTCGATCAAAAATGTTCATCTCAAAACTTACGGGCATATTTTGGGAATGGTCTTTAAGTATGAAGTAATAAAGTTTTAAAGATTTATAATTTATCATGAGGATGAAAAAACTATGCTAATTGATAGAGAGAATTTACAGACAAATCCAAACTTTTATGTGCAAATATTTTTATATTTCTTTTAATCCTTTAAAAAAAATATTCCACTTAATTTTCTGTTTCGATATTTCCAAAAATCTGCAAAATGAATGCAATAGTTTAAAATCCACAATTACGTTTTTACTTCGCCATTGTTTCCTTTGGCTAAAATGGATTGTCTTTCAATGGTACACTGGGATAAAGCTTGATTTGATTGATTGTTTGAAAATTTTTTCCGATTTTACCTTTTCTTAAATTAATGATTTGAAATTCAATTCTTTCTATAATTTTAGTTCTACAGCTCAACATCATTTATTGGCATTATTTAACAACTAGGAAATTTAGCATTTTAAATGGAACACACCGAATTTTACATTTTTATCATTATATTAAACAAAACTGATTACTGAGTCCAAAACTAAAGAATTTGAGACGCGACTCAAATATACTTGGTTCCACTTAAAATTGTATTAAATGTTTCAAGACTTAAGCCGGCGATCAATTAAGACCGGTGTTTGGCGGATTTGAGACGTGGCTCAAATTCGGACTCTGTTGACATAATTTACAGAGACGGCATATGATGTCCTATTCAAAACTTTGTCTGATCAAGGATGAACGTGATATTCTTCTTTTTCTCTCGGAAAATTGATTATTTTCAATTGTGGAATTTCATTAAAAGTGACGAGCGGATTTATACTAAAGACAAAAAAGGATATTGTCAAATTCAACACGCATTAAGATGGAAAAACAACGATATCTTCCTCATTGTTACTCAACTTTAATTAGGTTTCCGGTGTGAATCAGACATGCCACTATTTACATGGAAGGTTTAGTCCCTTCCTTTGCCGGGTACCCGGCTGTATAAAACATGATCACCCAGACAATAGAGAAGTTTAATTGAAGGTTCTCCAATTGTTATTATTTATTATTTATCCTAAACTCTACAATATGTGCGAGGCATTGTTCTCTAACTAATTGACCGGAGAAGAACAAAAACTCGGAAGTGTGTCTTTGCTCTAATTGAGACGAATTGTACGTTTTCATCACAATACTTAACTCTCACGCATTTATCACGTGGATAGATGATAATAGTAATGAACATCTAGAAATCTATTCTTGGTTAAAGTAATTTAGGAGCTTAAATAATGATGATCAATCTTCGTCATTTTGATAAATTGACATTTTCGTCTCAAAATTTTATAGTATCAATTTGAAATAAAATTCTTCCAAAGTTAGGGCTGCAGAACCAGAGCTCAAAACTTTATAATGTTGGATATCGAGATCAATGCTTGATCCTCTCTTTTTCTTAATCTCGAGACTAACCTAATCTTGTGTTTGTATCCTGAAAAGTGTATAAAATTTAACAAATTCAGAAGCCGGAAAATTAAAATTTTTTGCCCCGCCATTTAATGACAGTTCTCTCATTTAATCAAGATTAATATACTGAGACGGGAGGGACTCTCTAATTTTGAAAAACCGGTTTTTAATTTTTCTGTACTGTATCTAAAAAAGAGTGGATTAAGAAAGAACTTAAAAGTGTCCACACTAGATATTCGGATTTAGCAGTCGATCGGGATTATAAAGGTATCGCATTCTTAAGTTCACTGCTTAGCATGCATATTGCATAACCAATTAAAAGCGTGGTAAAATTAGTATTTATTACGGGGAATGTAGACCTAATTTCAAGTGAGCATATAAGCCCTATGGTATCCAATTTAACTCTTTAGATACAGGGTGTCCCACGAAACATGACAATAGCAAGACGACTTGAGAGTCGTCTTTGATATATGAAATTATTTGTGACATTTAGTCTTCTATCTACTTTAACATGTATGATTCTTGAAACTATCACATAATTCTCCTAGCCCTGGCATTTCCAAAAAGTGGTCTGCATTTATTGTGCTTTCAATATTACCGGAGATATAAAGAGTTTGGTTCAAATTTCAATTTTGTTAAATAAAAGCAAAATTGTCGAAATCTGAACGAAATTGTTCATATCTCGGGCAATATTGAAAGCACAAAAAAGGCAGACCACATATTGGAAATGGCAGGACAAGGGAAATTTCGTGATTATTATCTCTAGAAATTTACTTCCAAAATTAGGTTGACAAATAAACGCAGCAAATTATATCAAAAATCAAGACGACATTCAAGTCCTATTGCATACTGTCATGTTTCGTGGGACACCCTGTAATTCCAACACTTATCCAAACCAAATATCTTCCTCATTAATGCTTAAATCCGGTTTAAGTGGTATTGCTGTGAATCAGGCATGTCACTCTATAAATGGAGGGTCACCAGAAATTACATTTACAATCCCTTTAATTCGGACATGAACCTTGCTCATTCCTTCCAAATAGATTATCAAGTACAATAGGTGACAACAAAGAGATGGACCAATTAAACACGACGTCACAAGTGTCAAATAGAACAAGGAAAACGAAATTCTCTCACAATAGTTGACATGTTTTCCAAGATTAGATAAAAAGTGTAAAAACAGAAAATAAAGAACACAAAATTGAACTTATTTGACTGTAAGAAAACACGTTATCATCACTATCATTAATAATTTTGTCGGACACATAAACTGTTGACACTTGTGACGTCAGAATACAGCTGTACTGAGTGTGTACAAATTCTACGTTGCCATCTATTCCTTCACAGAATAAAAATAAAAATATTAAAAATAATAATAATAAAAAAAAAAAAAAAAAAATTTTTTTTTTTGAAAATTAAATATTTTGCAAGGTTATGTATCTTTATTTTGATGAATGAGCAACATATATTCAAATAGTTGACAGGTCGTTAAAGTAATTAATCGATTACTTGAGTCGAACAAATATTTAAAAAATAGAATTTCAAAATTATTAAAAACTAATGAAGCACAAATTTATCAAATAAATTCTGCCATTTTGAAAAATAATAATGCCGTTAAACATAAAATTATGAAATCTTTTTCAAGCAGAAATCTATCAAAGCTTGTTATCACACATTGTATATTTAATTGTCATTACATTTACATATGGAAGGTGATCGGGTGCGATTATAAGTGATTAGGTGTGATCATGTTTGATCAAATGATCATCAGCAGTAATCAACGTGATCAGATAAACCATGAAAATAAATAAAATAAATACTATTACTAACATTTAACAAGTCAATCACAAAAAGTATGTTGCTTTTAAATTTGGTCTTATTGATAAATTGAGACCCTTCAGTTTACACTGGAACATATATCATGGTTCATTTAAAAAAAGTATTTTTTAAAAGAAAATGAAACATTTTTCAAGTTTTTAAAATTTAGGATATTTTTTATTAAAATTGCTCTTTTATTCTTTTCTTATCACCTTAAGAGCCTGTGTTTGAGCAATGTCATCGGCGATTTTAAATTATGAAATTATAAATTTAAAATTTTTATGTTCAACCAAAAGGATTGTTTTCTCACTGAACCCTAATACATACAATGAGACCCAAAAAATGTGAATTATGAAGACGATATGTAAGGAAACTTTAGTGTATTTGATGTTGTTATTAAATCAAATATAATTTTACAAGTATAAAAATCACCTCAGGTAAGTAGCAAACTGCTTAATTGCTGTGTTTCATATTCTTTGGGACTATTTAAAACCATAATTTAATTTTATCAGTCGTCTTCATATTCCACAGTTTTATAGGTCTCATTGTAGAGTTTAGGTTGAATAAACCTAGGATGGAGGAGCCTTGGTGATTCTTTTGTTCCCTCTACTAGGAGGAGCAGGTTTAGAGAATTTAGGTTTAGAACTTATCTCCACAGGATGGATCTCACTCTGCAACAAAATATATAAAGACAACTCGATCAGTTTAGTTTTACGTGGGTTGGAGTTGTAACACTTTAAAATTTCTCGGAAATTATCTAGCCTACGTTGGCTGAGCCCGTGGTTTAAAAGCTTCGGCTCGGGTCTTAATTCCTTAAACCCAGCTTTAAAAGCCAATCTAAGACCCAGTACTAACGACAGCTTGTTTCATGTGAATAACAGCTGTGTGTTCTTAGGACTTACGGAGTTAGGCCCAAAGAAAATAACACCGACCTGGGTTGGTTTCAGTAAAAGGCTCAATGTGTATTTTCAGGGGTGTTTGTGTCTCTTTTCGAAGAAGATTTTTTTTGAAGCTTTATTGACTCAAGTTCTTACCATAATAAACTGTTCGGTTAGTTCTGATCCACTTTCTATCTCCATCTTCTTAGCTATGTCTATATTGTAATGTTTCTCAATGATCTCAACCACCGAGTTTTTACAACTAGAGTAGAGCATTCTTTCCTTTATAGATACACTGTATCCAGGCATAGAGTAGATAAACACTAAAAATATTAATTTTTAGAAAAAAAAGATAATCGGAGCAGTGGTAGGATGAGGAAGAGCAAAGAATGAATGAAAAATAGCAAGGTAGGATGAATAAAAGCATGGATGGATGAATAAGAGCAAGGTTGGAATGAATAAAACCAAGGTTAGGATGAATAAGAGCAAGGTAAGTATGAATAATATCAAGTATTATTTATTATNAAAGGATAGCATGAATAAGAGCAAGGTAAGTATAAATAATATCAAGTTTATGATGAATAAGAGCAAGGTTAGGATGAATAAGAGTAAGGTTGGGATGAATAAGAGCAAGGTTAAGATAAATAAGAGCAAGGTTAACATAAATAAGAGCAAGGTGAGAATGAATAAGAGGAAAGCTATATGAATAAGAGCAAGGTAAGGATTAATCAAAGCAAGGTTGGGATGAATAAAACCAAGGTTAGGATTAATTAGAGCAAGGATAGGATGAATAAGAGCAAGGATTAAGATGAATGAGACCAGGATTTAGATAAATGAGACCAGGATTAAGATAAATGAGACCAGGATTAAGATAATCAGGAGCAAAGTTAGGATGAATAAGAGCAAGGTTAGGATTAGTAAGAGCAAGGTTTGGATAACTAAGAGCAAGGTGAGAAGAATAAAAGCAAGGTTGGATGAATAAAAGCAGGATTAAGATGAATGAGAGCAGTATTAGGATTAATAAGAGCAGGATTAAGATGAATGGGAGCAAGATTAGGATGAATGGGAGCAGGATTAAGATTTATGAGAGCAGGATTAAGATTTATGAGATCTAGGATTCAGAAAAATGAGAATTAGGATTAAGATGAATGAGAGCAGGATTAAGATGAATGAGAGCAGGATTAAGATGAATAGGAACAGGATTAAGATAAATGAGAGCTAGGATTAAGATGAATGAGAGCAGGATTAGATTGAATGAGAGCTAGGATTAAGGAGAATGAGTACAGGGTTAAGATGAATAAGAACAGGATAAAGATGAATGAGAGCAGGATTAAGATGAATTAGAGCAGGATTAGAATGAAGCAGGATTTAGATAAATGAGAGCAGGATTAGAATGAACAAGAGCAGGATTAAGATGAATGAGAGCAGGATTAAGTTGAATGGGAGCAGGATTAAGATGAATGAGATCAGGATTAAGATTAATGGGATCAGGATTAGAATGAATGAGAGCTAGGATTCAGGAGAATGAGTACAGGGTTAGGATGAATGGGAGCAGGATTAAGATTAATGGCAGAAGGATTAAGATGAATGGGAGCAGGATTAAGATGAATGGGAGCAGGATTAAGATGAAGGAGAGCAGGAGTAGAATGAATGAGAGCTAGGATAAAATAAAAAAATCATGTATCTAACCTACACTAGAAGTTGCTTCACCCTGGAAAGTATGCTTGTATCTGAAAAAGATTATTAATATTACAAAACCGGAATATCTTCCAATTACTTTTTATTTCAACATTTTCAGAATAATAAGAAGAAGCAAGACTTGAACAATAATCTTTATATATGCAACAAAGGGAACAAAATCCGAGTGCCCCCCACCCTACCCCTCCAAATACTGTTGATTGTAAGTAAATGTTCAACTGACCTAAATAAATGATATCTTGCCTCATCCTCAGGAACTAGACTAGGAAGCTCTTCAATTGTAAACATTCCTTTCTTCTTTAACAAAATTGATTCGTTTTTCAGATCTAAGAGATGAAAAATTATTAACAAATTTGAATTGAAAATAATGCAAGAAAACATTACCTATAGATAATTGAATATAATCGTGACCCTTCTTTAAGAACTCCTCTAAAGATTGGAGCACACTCCGCTCCATAGGAAATGCCATGGAGCCAAGAGTTTGTTGTTTAGTATCCACTCCTATATCAACCCTAAAAAAATCATGTAAAAGTTGGAGAACGTAATAATGAATGATATTTTTTTTAATAAATGTAATCTGGCTTGAAATTAATGTTAAAAAAAGCCTCGAAAAAAAACATCTACCTATATGAAGTAGAGTAAGCACAGGTGTACAGTGTACACAGGGGGGGGGGGGCTATGGGAACTTAGTTCTCCCCCGGAATTAGTGAAATCAATTGTTTCCAGTGGGTTTCAGGCCTAAAAGAGTGCTTACTGACGAGCCCCTCCCCCCTCCTTGAACAAAATGATTGTACTCCAAGCAATAAAAAAAAATATCTGGATTTTTTTACAGAATATTACAATTCACACCGTACATTCTTTACAACCCTTATTACCATTTAATTTTGATTCGTATAATGAATTTTGACGTTTTTTTTTGTGTTACTAATTACAATTATATAACACATTATCTGAAAAAAGTAAAATCACAATGCAGTATAATAAAATACAGTACAGTACAATACAGTACAATACAGTACAGTACAAAACAGTACAGTACAGTACAGCACATTACAGTACAGTACAGTACAGTACAGTACAGTACAGTACAGTACAGTACAGTACAGTACAGTACAGTACAAACCTTGTTTCTGATTCTTTAATTTCCTTCATCTCCTCCTCCTCTTTAGAGAGAGGACCAGGTCCGGCATCTGCCGCTAGATGCCGCCGGTACCCGGACAAGGTTATCTCATCCTGTAACAACATAAATTAATCAATCCATTAACCCATCCATCAATCAATCAATTTAAAAAAAAAGTCATTTCAAACAAAAATGTTTGTAAAAATGTATCATATAATTCCTTGCTAAGAACCCATTTCATTTTGATGTGGATCCGGATCCTGAATCCACACTGGAAAAAAATATATCCGGATCCAGGTCATAAACATTTCTTTAAGATTTACTGATTTTTTTTCTAAGAAACCAGAATTAGAAAATTAGTTTTCTTCTTTTTTCGCATTTTTTTTTGCTAAATTTGATTCAATGATCATGAAATTTTTATAATCTCTCTTTTTTTTAACAGCTAAGATTTGAGTTTTGTGAGCAAAAAAGTTTTTTGTTGTTGTTTTTCCCCTTTTAATCCGGATAATTTTGCAGATCCGGATCCAGGAAGCCAAAAATCTTGCGAATCCAACGGATCCTTAGCGCTCCAATAATTGGTAAAAAAGGGCTTTTCTGGCGAAGATGAAGCTGAGAAAGTTTTTCTAGACAAACCTTTGAGGTAGCGAAGTATTCGTCTTTTATTTGTCCCTGACCAAATTCTTTCTTAAATGTTGCTTTTGTAGACGCGTACAACATCTTTTGTCTTAATTAAACATAAGTTAAATACATTTTTTGATATATATATATATATATAATGAAGCAGGATT